GGGGGCCGGGGGGGGGGGGGTGTTGGCCTGGCAGCAGGAATTCGAAAGCAGTCCGAGGTCGCCCCTGCTGGCGGAACCCCGCGGGGGACCCCGGGCCGCGCGCCCCTCACCTATAGAAGGTCTGCATGTGCCGGTACTTGGGCGGCACCGCCATGCAGCGCAGGTCGGCCTCGTTGCGCACCGCCTGGAAGTCGCCGCAGCACAGAAGAAGGTCCACGGGCCCGGGGCCACGCAGCTCGGCCAGCGCCAGCGTCTCGTAGATCTTGTCCAGCTCGCCATGGCAGCAGCCGGCCACAGCCACCCGCATCCTGCAGGCCTCGGAGCGGAACTCCACCGTGAAGCCCGGCGAAGACCACCGAAGTGGCAGCCAGCTCGGCTCCCGCCAACTCCGACAGAGCCGCACCGCGTTCGGACGCCTGTACTTAACTTCCGGCTTCCGGGTCTCGCGCGAGAGAGGGCGGAACTGTCTTCCCGGCCCACACCGGAAGAAACTTCGAAGCTTGATTGCCAGGCTCCGCTTGTCCGTGTCCGCACGTCCTCGGATCCTAGGAGCCTGACGGGTTTGAAGTTTAAACCTAGAAGGAAACAAAATTTCCAAATAGAAATTTAATGTAGTAAAATTAAACTAGTAAACAAGCGAGCAGGAGCAATTGACTAATTCCCTAGGGAAAACCTCTCCCAGCAGAGACAATTGCCTCAAAGTGAAGTGAGAATTAGAAGTCTTTTTTTCTGATGATATTAAAAATTAATATAATTGTAAGCCGGGCGTAGTGGCACACTCTTTTAATCCCAGCATTTGGGAGGCAGAGGCAGGCGGATCTCTGTGAGTTCGAGGCCAACCTGGTCTATCTACATAGTGAGTTTCAGACAAGCTGGGGCTACTGGGAGACCAAAAAGACCCCCCCCCCAAAAAAATATATATAATTTTAAAATGCAACTTTAAAACTTACTGGTGATTTTAAAACGGGTACTCCTAGGAATTCTAAGATTATTATCATTTTTGGTCTTTTTTGAGACAGGGTCTCCCTGTAGCCCCTGCTGGCCTTAGAACTGGTTATGTAGACCAAGATGGCCTTGAACACAGAGATCCACTTGTCTCTGCCTCCCGAGGACTGGGACTAAAGGCCTACAAAACCATGCCCGGCCTGTTTGTCATTTTTAATTTATGAGTTCTTTCCTTCATTTTGTATACATACACCTTTAGGCACATGTGTTTAAAAATATTTATTTTTATTACTTTAAATCATGTATATCTCTGTGTGGGGGTATGTGCACATGGGTACAGGTGCCAGAGGAAGCTGAGCCATCTCTCCAGCCCCTAGAAGCATGTTTTAAAACATCATTTAAAAAACAAAAGTTTATATAACTTATATCAATGTATCTCAAAAAAAAGTTGAACTAGCAAGAACAGATTTATAAAAAGCTAAGACACATACTTGCTGTTGCCGGCAGGAAAAACTTACAATATGGATGTACTCTGGATAAATTTTAAATCTTATTTTTTCATGCACACCAGCATGTGCCTGGTATCCTAGCTACATAGGAGGCTGGAGCAGGAAGGTTGCTTAGGCCCAGAAGTTCTAGTCACCTAGGAAACACAGGGAAACTCTGTCTCTAAAGACAAACCCCCAGCGCTGGGTGCGGTGTTGCACACCTTTGGTTCCAACACTTGGGAGGCAGAGGCAGACAGATCTCTGTGAATTCAAGGCCAGCCTGGTCTACATAGTGAGTTCCAGGCCAGCTGGGGCTGAGGGAGACCCTGTCTGAAAAGGACCGAAAAAACAACAACAACAACAACAAAACCCAAAAATCCTTAGGTACATCTACATCGTCTATATCTTGATTTCTGTCCTAGCTTATTTTCCTGTTGCTGTGATAAAACACCCTGACACAAGCAACTCAAGAGAGAAAGGATTTATTTTAGCTCATTGTTCAAGGACACAATCCGCCAGGGCAGGGAAGGCAAGGTGCCAGGAGCTTCAAGCAGCTGGTCACACCACATCCACAGTCAGGAAGCAGAATGCACATGCAGCTCAGTTGACACTATCACAATTTCTTTTTAAAAAGGATTATAGGCCAGGCGTGGTGGTGCACGCCTTTAATCCCAGCACTTGCACTTGGGAGGCCAAGGCAGGTGGATCTCTGTGAGTTCAAGGCCAACCTGGTCTACATAGTGAGTTCCAGGACAGCTGGGGCTACAGGAAAACCCTGTAATTTTTATTTTTATGTGTATGTGTATTGCTTACATGTATGTAAGTATGCCAATGTCATGTCTGTGGAGGCCAGAAGAGGTGTCAGATCTCCTTGAACTGGAACTATGGACTGTTACTAGCCACCATGTGGGTCCTGGGAACCAAACTCAGGTCCTCTGAAAGAGCAGCCAATGTTCTTAACCACTGAGTCATCCCTCTAGCCTTATTTATTTATTTATTTATTATTTATTATTTATTATTTATTATTTATTGGTCTTTTTGAGGCAGGGTCTTCTTGTAGCCCCAGCTGGCCTGGAACTCACTGTGTAGACCAGGCTGGCCTTGAACTCACAGAGATCTACCTGACTCTACCTTCCAAATGCTAGGATTAAAGCCATGTGCCACCACGCCTGGTTCCATAGTTATTTTTATGTGTGTGTTTGCCTGCATGTATGTATGTACACCACATAGATGTCTAGTGCATACAAAGGCTGAATGAAGGCTTGAGATCCCCCTGGACCTGGAGTTACAGATGGTTGTTAGCCGCCATGTGTGTCCTAGGAACTGAACCCAGGTCCTCTGCAAGAGAGCAGCCAGTGCTCTTAACAGTGAAAACTGTCTTTCCAGGCCCCTGTATCACAATTTCTAAATGAGAGTCTACTCTAAAGAGAAAGAAATTCAGAATCTTGAAATGACTGATTCTAGTCCAAATGTACAAAAGTACAAAATGATCATGCATTGTCTTGTGCTTGAAATCAGAGAAATCCTTAGAGAATTTTCCTGTATGTAGGTGTTTTCATTGGCAAAACCTGGCACAACTGCAGGGTCAAAATACATAATCACAGTTAAAAAAAAAAAAAAAAACTACAGCCCACTGAACAAAGTAGAAATATATTACAGACAGTCCCAACTTATGATGGTTTGACTTATAGATTGTCAATTTTACAGTGGTGTGAAAGCAAAATACAACCAATAAATGTTGGGAAACCCTGCTGTTAGGGTTGTAGTTCTTCATGTCCGGATAGCCCTAAGGGGCTGGGCGCCAAATGGAAGGACTCCCCTTTTCAGCAGGGGGCCTCCTGCTCTCTTCCTGGCTTACCTGGAAAGTGCCACCAAGCACAGATGCCTGACCTTATTTGGAACATGACCTTTGGCATAGTTACCCGGAGTAAAAACTACCCCCAGGTTTTTTCTATATGATAATCAGGCATTGCCTGATAGTCAGACGATAGAAGCCCACTACCACATGTAAATAAAGCATACTATGAGCACCTATCAGCTGAGGCTTTGGCTACTGCCTCCACACTATAATTTCTCTAGTTCTCCCACTGAATAAACAGAGCTGTTTCATTGAGTCTGGAGCTGTATCACTGCTGTTTCACTGCGCCGTGGGACCAGCCTCCCCGGAAGGGCTTTCTTCCGTCTGTGCTCACTGGCCGTCCTGACTGTTCACCGCTTCTGCTCCCCCTGCCCTCGTGGACTGGTGGCCAACGACCCGTGAAGAGAGGGAGAGAGCCCCGCAAATAAAGCCATGTTTAATTTAACATTTTGATCATTTTTATGAGTTGGTAACATCCTCAGCAGTACCAATGAGGCATCAGCCATGCCATCAGAGGGGTAAACAAATGATACACAAGAGCATGCCATGTGTGGCAGTTTGAATGAGAAATGTCCCCCTATGCTCACATATTTGAACAGTTGGTTCCCAGTTACTGGTGCTGTTTATGGAGGTTATAGAACCTTTAGGAGGTGGAACCTTGGGGGCAGGCTCTGAGTGTTTATAACTTTGCCCAGCTTCCAGTTCTTTCTCTTTGCTTCTTGTACATGTGGATGAAAATGAGATCAGCCAACTTCCTGCTCCTGCCCTCATGGTAACCTCTGGCTACTACCATAGCTTCCCTGCCACAATGGACTCTATCAATCTGGAAGTATAAGCCAAAATAAACCCTTTCTTCCTTAACTTGATTTGGTCATGGTATCTTATGATAGCAACAGAAAATAATACACCATGCTAAGCTATGATGTTCTGTAGGTTTGGTATAACAAATGCATTTTTTTTTTTTTTTTGGTATTTTTGAGACAGGGTCTCCCTGAAGCCCCAGCTGTCCTGGAACTCACTATGTAGACCAGGCTGGCCTCGAACTCACAAGGATCCACCTGCCTCTGCCTCCCAAGTACTGGGATTAAAGGCGTGGCCACCACGCCTGGCAATAAATGCATTTTAATGTTTTTACTAGCATTTATTAATTTTATATGATGGGTTTCATTATGGTATTTTCACACATGCATATAATGTATTTTGATCATAATCACCACTCTCAATACCGTCTCTTGTCCCCCTCCCATTTATACTGATTCCCTTCTTTATTTTTTGATGACACAATGGGTTTCATTAGGATTGCTTACTGGCGCATAGACGAAGGTTTGTTTATGGTATCATGGGCACGTTACCAGTGGCTACAGCAGTTAATAAAATATTTCTCCCTCCTCTATCAACTATTAACCCTTATAAGTCTTCAAGGGGAGAGATGGGACATTGTGAGCCTCTCCCTTCTCCACGACAGGATATTGATGTTCTCAATCCTGTACAGATTATGTGCAGGTAATAATAACTATTTTGAGTGCATGAGTGCAATGCCCACATCATGCCAGAATGCATTACTTTACACCACGCCTTCCCTTCCCCCAGCTCTTACGTACTTTCAGGCCCTTCTGCGATGCTCCTTGTACCGTGGAGGGATGATAGAGATGCCCCATTTATAGCTGAGCATTCAACAATTATTTATTCTCCACACTTTGACTAGTTATGTCTCTGCAGTTACTATGCCTGCTGCAAAGGCAAGCTTTTCTGATCAAAGCTGACAACAGCACTAATCTATGGGCATTAACATAGTTCATTTAGAAGGCAATTTGATGGGCACATTGTATCTATTTAGTAAAACAATGGCAGTAGCTTCTCCACTAGGGAACTAAGATTCCTTCCCCCAACCCCACAAGCCATAGGCTTTTGACTGGTTTTACAATATCAGATGCGAATTAGAGCAGGCCTCTAATCCAGTCAGAAAATAGTTGGTTAACCCCGTAATCTTGCCTGGCTTGCTCGTAGTGCTGTACACAGGGTCCACAGCTGATTAAGACTGTTGATAACAATTCTCCCTCAGCAACCTGCATAGCACCCTCTAGCACTGAGGGCTAGCCAGCAGGAGGAAGCTTCCAGCTGAGTTCCAGCTGGATTTTTCTATGCCACAGCACATA